GAGAGAGGAGAAAGAGAAGCTGGATTATAGACATGCACCAACTTTTGGTTTCCATCTGTTTAGTTCTTTGATTTTTCTCATTAATATTTTATAGTTTTTAGGATATAAATATTATATGTATTTTATGAAGCTGATTTTTTTTTAATGTAGTTTATGCTTATTTGCATTTGCAGGGTAAACCTTGGTGATGATGTTTTACCTATTTTATATATTGTAATATTCAATGTGATCACATTTTGTTAAGAATTTTACATATAGATTCATGTCTGTAGCTTACTTTGTAATCATCCATTGTAGCTTTTAACTTTTTGCTTTTGATTTCTAGATAATATATTTGATCCTCTGTCAGATTTAGGCTGGCTTAGTTCCCTACATCCTGTAGACCGTTTTTTGGTGATGATGGGTTGCTTTGGGGAAGGGGTGCTGCAGATTGAACCCAAGCCTCACTCATGCTAAGCATGCTCTCTACCGCCGAGCTACACCCCTGCCCCTACAATCTATAGATATTTTTAAGATTTTATTTTTCTTCCAACATAGCAAACAAAGTTATTCTAGAGTCTTTGCCTAATAAATTCCACTATTTAAAATTCCTTACAGATTTATTTCTTCTAGTCTCACTCAATTGTAGTTTTCTGTTTTGCAGATGTGTGCTTATTATTTTTGATAGTAAGTTTCTCTTTGTTCCTCCATCATTATTTTAGAAATTCTTTGAAGCCATGAATAAAGGTGTGTATGTTTGCAGAGAGAATTTGCATTGTTTCTGCCAGTCTCCTGGAGATACTAAGAGTCTAGGACAACTTGCAATTTATTGTTCAAGGCATGTGGCTTTTGAGACCACTCTAATAATGTGAATCAGGCTGCCAGACCAGGGACTTAAGTTAATTTAACTTACTGAAGTTAAGTAATAGAACTTACAGAACTTGCTGCTGCATTAGATGTTAGAGGAAATAAGAAATACAAGACTTCTCCGGATTTATGGCTTCATCAACTAAAGCAACAAGGGTTCTATTAACTGAGAAGTAAAGACTAGAGAGGGATGGAGCTGGAGTTCCATTTTGGGTATATTAGGTTTGAAATTCACATGTTATATCTAACTAGTCAGTTTGTTTACAGAGTGAGTTATGCACATACAGAACACATTTAATACCGAGGCTAGCTGAGGTCGTTTAGGGAAGAGAATACACCATTTTACAAATTGTAAAAGAAGGACATTTCAGGACCAACTCCTGAAAAATCAAAGTGTTTGGGAGTTGAGCAGAAAGAGATACAGGGCAGTCCGAGATATGAACAAGGCAGGTATCACTTTCCTTAGTGTAAGGAATTACATTGTGCTTCCTCATTATCAGCTTCATTTTTCTGGAGGATTTTCATAGGTTTTCTTTGCTAATATGTTCTTTGATTTACTTAATGTTGAGTGCCTGACGTCAGCAATTTTAGGAATTTACATAACACGGGATATTTAAGATGAATAGAGGAAAGAACCATGAATGAACTATTCTGTTAATAGACACTGGTGGTGCTTTGGGTTGTTCTAAGCATAGAGAAGATCTTTATTGAGCTAGGGTTGGATCCCAGGTGAAGTCTGGGTGGGACTGATTATCAGGACAGTTGTACAGCCTCAGGGTTGAAGGTACTTCCAAACCTCTCCTTGGTTTCTTATTTATATTGTTCCTTATTCTATTGTATTGTGTCTGTCTAGATAGACTGTGTACCTATGTATCGTTTTATTGACTTTTTTCTATGTTGTCTATTTATTGAAGCATAGTTTGGAGGTCCCTTTCCCTGAGATCCCCTAAATTGCCTCTGCTTTGTCTGTGCCTGAGACTCATGCCTGCTTGTTAGGAAGGGTCTGCCATCAGAAGTCATGTCTCCACCATTGGCTTTGATTCAGCCCCTAGGGTAACTCATTTCTCTCTCCCTGTAGGACATATAACTTTGGATCCTGAAACAGTTCATCCCTGCCTAGTCTTATCTGAGGACCTGAGAAGAGTGAGAGTTGGAAATATCCAGCAGGGTGTACCGTGCCACCCAGGGAGATTGGACTTCAGTGCTACAGTGATGGGTTTGGAAAGCTTCACCTCAGGGAGGCACTACTGGGAGGTCGATGTGGAAAAGGCAACCAGGTGGCAGTTGGGCATATCGGAGGACTCCGCAGACAGAAAGGGCAACATGCCTGAAGCTTCCAAAGTCTTACTCACAGGATCCTTGATGGGGACCAATTACACCTTCTGGGTCTTTCCCCCTTTAAAAAAGGTCTGCTTGAGAAAGCAAATGCTTAAAGTGGGAGTCTTCCTAGATTATGAGTATGGGCAGATATCATTCTACAATGTGACAGAGCGATCCCTTGTTTATAATTTCTCTTCTCTCACCTTCCAAGGAGCTCTCAGACCCATATTTTCTCTTTGTATTCCAAATGGAGACATGAATTCCGATTCGCTCACTATCTCTTTGCCTCGTGTTCCTTCCTGAAATGTCACCGTTTGCTCTTAATCTTCTCTTGTGTGAAATCCAAGATCGTAAGAGACCAGCAATGTAAGAGCAAGACTGTGTGAAAGAACTTATACAGAGCGATCCAATAGAAGACTTTGATGAGCTGGGATCCAATATAATGCCCCAGAGCCTTTTCATTAATGAGACTTTCAACACCTGTTAAGTGGAAAAGGTTGCATTTAAGCTGAATTATGAATAATAGATATTAACTAAAATCAGAACAAAAAAATGCATATGCATCATAAAATTGAGAAATTATAGGACGAACATAGTCTGTGTCTTTAGTAATATGATTGGGACTCTAAGCATATTCTGAAAATATTTATGAAATTCAGTATGATCAGAAATGAAGACTGGAAGATTTGAGGGTGTCTAGTATTGGCATATGAAGACTGGAAGATTTGAGAATGACATCCTCTTACTTATTCCTACTAACATTGAGACATCTATTATTGACAATAAGTATCAAGACATCCTAATGTTTGTCATTCCAAAAAAAATAATTTGCTTGGATATTTTATCTGGGTGGCAAGTTTCAGGAAAAAAAAAGTGAATATTTTTTCAACTATTCTTTTCTACCTCTGAGAATTAAATTTCTTAAAAGAACTCTGAAAGTATGGTGCTTTGAAATTCATGAGTATAATAATGATGTATTTGTTCTCATCTTTCTTTATTTGGTGATTCACTGAAAAATGCTTTATCCTACCTTCATTCTTGCTCAGAGGGGTTATGTAATGGCAAAAATAATAAAAAATATTTACAGAGGATTTTTATGTGAAAGGTTTAGCATATTTCATCTTCCTTATTATTTTTAACAACCCATAAGTGTATCCTAATCTTATTATTCAAGTGTAGAACTGATACTGAGACAGGATTTAATTTTTCTAAAGTCATACAACTGTTAAGAACCTAGTAAGTAATGAGGATGAGGAATTAAATCCAGATCTTCATATCAAAAAGCAAGCTTGTTCCTGAATTCTATTGCATAGGGATTTGATTCCTAATTCTGATAAGCACAATTAGCTAACACAGTTTTACTCAAATTTCCTCAAAAAATGTAAGCCAACTTCAACAGGAAGTAAAGAAAGCAGAATATTTACTTCTAGTATTTCCCTCTGTAGGTAGACTCAGGTACATTTTAGAGGCCAAGCTCTTTGGGATGGGTAGAAGAAGAGGGATCCAAAATCAAATAGAAATTACTTCCATGGAGGAATGGCAGACTGGGTAGTTATTCTGTCTTATTTGCCTATTTTTTAGAGACCATTTTTTAAATTATCATCTTAGATTTTCAAAATTAACTTCTAAAATGTGGATTTTTCTTTCTTTTTTGGTAAATATGTAAGCTTAGAAAAAGTCCTTGTGCATCTTCACACTAGATCACAAGACAACTTGGGAAAAGTGTCCCTGCTGTAAAATAGGGAGCTACATTACATGAATTGGAAGGGAGGTGACTCTTTGAAACATTAAGAATTCAGTGCACTGGTCCTCAAATTCTTCCCAGTATCCTGAGGAAAAGAAAATGATGATTCAATGTACAGAGAAATGTGAGAGAATTTAGTAACAAGCATCCAGGTGATGAATGTTTAAAATTCTATGTATTTACTTCTCTACGTCTATCTATTGAAAATTATCAGCTGAAAAAAATAAATTGAATTGAACATTTCCATTGCCATAAAACCCTCAACTCTTAAACTTGTTTATAATAATCTAGACTAAATGTAAACTAGACCAGAGGATCTCACTGGGAGCATTTTGTGTCCCCCTCCACCAGAACATTTGCCAATGTCCGGAGACATTTTTGGGTTGTTGGAACTTCAAGAAAGTGGGGGATGCTATTGTAATCTAGTGGGCGAAGGATAATGATGTTGCTGTATGTTCTATAATGTACTGTGCAGCCTCACGGACGAAGAATTAACTGGATCAAAAAAGAAGTATTGTTGAAGCTGAGAAACCCTGAGTAAAAAAGACAATTATATAAAAACTGAGCATAGTCTACTTTGAAAACCCAGTCCTTAGAAAGAACACTGTAACACCATTACCTGTAAAAGTTCAGGAAATTCCAAATGTCCTACCCGTCTAGTGATAGCTCTGCAAGTTATTTGTTAACAGTCAATTGTCTTAGAATATTGAATTTGAAACTAATGGGAAATTAAGATCACATTGATCTTAATATATAGATATCATAATTAATAACTACTTATAGACTATTAGTAATTGACCTTAGTTATAACTTTACACATTTTTGGTATTCTTTCATAATATCCAAAAAACTACCTAGTTCCCATTAGTTCCACACCCTGCAGGCTCCCCTTTAAGTCCTCCCAGCCCAGGCTCTAAGCCCTATAAATATCTTTCCCAGATTTCTCCATTTTGAGACACCATAAAACTGTCAGGACTGTGTTTTCTCTTGCTACAAAAAATCTAATTTATAAGCTTTGTTTGATCAGCAGAGTTTAGGGATGATGTTCTGAAGAGTCCAACAGTCAACATTTTTCATTTTTAAACTACAAACTACAAAATCTCCATCACCTCTCCAGATTATTTCTCCTTTTATTTTTTTTTTCTATTGCAATAAAACATTTTTTTTTACCTTGTATCATCTCCAAATTTCTGTAGGCTTTTAGGAAATAATAGCTAAAGATCAGGGGTTGACAGGAATTTTCTTATTTCAGGCTTTGCTGTCCATTCTGTCCTTCTTGACATTTAGTCACTGCTGTATAGCAAAGGCAGCCCTTAGCTGTACTTAAATCAATGAACATGACACATTCCAGTAAAACTTTATTGAAAAAGATGGGCAAAAAAAAAAAAAAAAAATGGTTGGTGATCCCTGATGCAGATTGTTCCTCCTTTCTCACTAATAGTCAAACTATCTCTTGAGTTAGGATCCTCCAAATTTGACTTCAGGAAAGAGAATGTAGTCTGGGGGTATAGCTCAGTGGCAGAGAGCTTGCTTAGCCTTGCTTAGCCTTCTCATTTGGAAAAATGAACGCCTGGGTTCAATCCCAGCACTGTAAAGACAAACAAATATATCTCTAATTAAAAACCCACTTTGAACTCTGCATCTTCTCCAATGACTGCGGAGTGTTTACACTTCTTATTTACAAAAAAAAAAAAAGAACGGCCAAAATATGCTCTAGTATGTGTTGGTTTATGCCATCTGCTCCTGAACTCCTGCAATCTGCTTTCTGCCCCTGTTTTTCTGTCTACAGATCTCAATAATGGCTTTCATAAAGCTAAGTCCCATGGACCATATTCCATTTTCACACTACTCAAATTCTCAGCAGTAGTCAGTGCTATTATTCCCTTGCTCCTCAAGAAATTCACCTGGACCCCTAGGTCACAGCACTGTTCTCATTTCCCCTACACCATTGTGGCTGCTGCCTTTCCTTTTAGACTAATATCCCATAAATGCTTGATGTTCCTTCCTAGGACCTCACCTGTCACTCAACTGTCTTAAGGCTCATGCCACAGCTTAAATTATTGTGTCCTCACTAATGACTCCTAAATATATGTTTTTAGCTCTTAAATCTGCTTCTAATGCATATACTTTATGTCCAACAGGGTTGGGAAATTGGTTCATGGGAGGTGAGAAAGATCTTACATGCAATAATGGTTGTGTCCTCCACAAGGGTCTGGTACATAAAGAGATGTTCACTACATCTGTGATGGTGGAATTTCACAGGGGAAAGGTGGTTAGGAAGAAAGGTCTAGAAAGTCCCTGGCGGGGGGTGGCAATAATGACACAAATTAAAAAACTTTGCTCTAAGCCCGATTGTCAAACTGTGTTCCCTAGAAATGTAACTTTCCAATATACTCACAAAGTTGCCTCCTTTTCTCTGTCATTACTGCTGTCTAGAACAAATCTCCATTTCCACTTGCCTGGTTTCTCCATTTTTTCACTGCTCACACTTGGACGTCTCTGCACTGTCACTGGAGTGAGCTTTTTGAATTATGAATCAGGTAATGTCATCACACAAATCCCTTCAGTGGCTTCTCAGTGGTCCTGGGATAAAACAAAACTTGTCCTCAGGTCCTATATGATCTGACCCCTTGCCTGTGTTCCTTGCCTTATCTGACAGACATTGAATTTCTCCCAAATATGAAACTTGACTTTTAAACTAGAATTCCTTAAAAATCAAAGGAGAATGCAGCACATGCTTCCAATGTCACACTGGGGCATTGTCTAACAAACGCACAAGGATTATTTAAGTTCTCAAGCAGCATGTACTTATGTTTGACTTTGTCATTTGTCATTTGATGAGAACCCAGACCCTGTGAAGTTGCATGTTAACTTATAGAATTGTTTGGTGGGAAAGAATCTCCAAGGTTTTAGTTTTATTGCCTTGTGGAATATTAACCAGTTTTCTGTTTAACCTAAGCAGTCTGATTTTTAACTTTCTTTTATATTCCTGATGATATATATAAACCTCTGCTTCTCATTTCTATTTCAACCAAGTTCTCTATTTTTACTGGTTATGTTACTGATTACCGAATTAAATAAAATCTTTGATACAAGTCCATATTTATTAGTATGAGGCTCTTGTTTGTAAGCCATCGAGAATGATGCTTTGACTCAGTGCTGGCCTTCTGAATCATTGGTGCCCAGTGACATTTTGTAACTACAAAGGCTTTGCACATCTACTTCCCATACTGCTTTTTTTTATTTTTATTTTATTTTATTTTATTTTTTTTGCTAATTTCAGTTCATTCTTCAGATCATAGCCAAAGTATTATCCCTCCAGGAAGCCTTCCTTGACATCCTTAAAAGCACTAATCCTGAAACATCTCTGCCCCAGTTACAACCTCTTAAGATACAAAGCACCTTAGGAATTTTATGTGCACTTGAGTGATTATTCAATTTCTTCCCCTACTACACTGTAAATTTCATAAGAATGTCCACTTTGTTCGTCTTTTATCTCCTGATGCCAAACAGTCCCTGGTATATAAATAATAATACATATTGAAAGAAAGTGGGGGAA